GGACTGTTGCCTGTTGTAGTTGGCACAGGGTGATGATTTGGACTTACTTAACATTAAAGAATTGCATTTTAGCCATCCTTTCCTTGCCTGGAAACAGCTAATAACATTTAGCATACATCAAAAGGGCAATATTTGGTGTGTTAAAACTTAATTTGTAAGCCAGGCTGTGGTGCACATTCCTTTAATGCCAGCACTCAGGAAGCATAGATAGGTGGATCTCAGTGAATTCAGGGCCAGCCTGGTCTACAAGAGCTTGTTCCAGGCCAGGCCCCAAAGCTAAAAAGAAACCAGTCTTGAGAAACAAAACAAAGCCAAATAAGCCAACTTGAATAGTTGAGTGTTGGAGAGCGAATATTTAAGAAAAAGTAAAATTTCTGGCTCAAATGGCTGCTTCAACTTTCTAGCAGGACCTAAAGTTTAATGCAACCACTGAGTCTACATTGTCACCAGGATTCTTTCCACAGCTGAATAGATTTGATTCCTAGCTGTGTGTGAATACTGAGAGGGAGTTTGCTGGAGAGTATGGATTTTCACCTCAGGATTATACCTCAGGATAGTATACTAACATTTATCCTATACTCACCGGGTTTTAAAGACTCTTTCAAAACGATTCCAGTTTTGTTTTATTTGAAAGATTTATTTTTTTTTTAACTATGTGCATGCATCTGTCCATGTGAGTGTATGTGAGTGTGAGTACCTTTGTGTGAGTATAATCATGGGCATGCAGGTGCCCAAGCTGACCAGAAGAGGGCATTATATTATCTGGTTACAGATAGTTATGAACTATATGTGCTGCTAACTCCTCAGCCATCTCTCCAGCCTTCTACTTTCTATATTACATATGCCAAAAATTATTAGCTGTTTCCAACGTGCTGATATTTTTATTCATAGAGGCAAAGAAAGGATGGCTAAAATGTAATTCTTTAATGTTAAGTCCAAATCATCACCCTGTGCCAACTACAGCTACACATTTGCAACAGACGAAAGACATTATCTCTTCTAAATGCCCTCAAGTTTGATGAGCCCATGGACTAACTAACCGAGATAAAGATCTGCCATTAAGGGCATACTTCCTCAGTCTGTGTGATGGTGTCAGGAGCTTGATGTTGAAACTCAGTAGTAGTGTTGTCTAAGACAAACTGCTATGCAGTTGCTTTGAAAGTCATGATTTTCATGCATTTATTTAAATCAACACAGAAAGTTCAGTGATTCATATATGGGAAATTTATTCAGATGTTTCAAAGCAATAATTAGCAAATATTTTAAAACTTGCCATTTTACAGTCTATTGCTTTTCATCTATCTATAAAGAATAGTAATTTCTTTAATTCCAGAAGTTCTACACATACAAATTCAGTCGATGGTGGGTAAAATACTTTTAAATTTTCATCTTTTCTAAGCATACAGAATATTTGTTGTAGTTATCTGTGGTGATATTTTGTTTGTGCTATAACAAATAAGTTGTCTGAGTATCAGAGTGTGGAGCGAGCCACTATTTATCCATAGATGATAGGCAGTGGTGGCACACACCTTTAATCCCACCACTCAGGAGGCAGAGGCAGACAGATCTTTGTGAGTTCAAGGCCACTCTGGGCTGCGCTAGACTGACATAGCTTCAAACTGAAACACAGCCAGGCGGTGAGGCTCACACTTTCAATCCCAGTACTTGGAAGTCACAGGCCTTTAATCCTAACACGAGGGAGGAAGATACAGGAAGAGATATGGCTGGACAAAGGAATTTAAGGCAGGGGGAAACAGAAGCTCAAGGCATTCAGTCTGAGGATTCCTAGAGACAGGATTACCCATTCAATCTGAAGATTCATAGGGATAGGATAACTCATTCAACCTGAGGATTTCATAGAGGTAAGAATTAGTGGCTGACTGCTTTGTTTCTCTGATTTTTCAGTTTTCACATTCTAATATCTTACTCAGGGATTTTATTATTAGAAGCAATTAGAATTCATGCTACAATTACCTTTAAATATTATAGCATAACAACTATTTATGTAGTATTTACATTTTTAGGTGTTCTAAGTAATCTAGAGATTGTTTAAAGCATGCACAGGAATGCATAAAAGTTATATGAACATACTATGCAATTTTATGTAAAGTACTTAAACATCTTTGGATTTTGGTGACTATAGGGTTCCTGGAATTAATATCCCAAGTATCCTGATGGACAATTCTATTATGTGTTAGTCCTTTTGTTCTGATCTATCTGTCTGTCTGTCTGTCTATATATGTATCTTTGTATCTATGTATCTATCTATCTATCATCTATCTACCATTCTACCTATCTATTTATCTATCTCTCTATCTATCTATTTCACAGGCAGCAAGAGTTTTTTTTGTTTTTTTTTTAAATCATTTTTTTTAACTTTTTTTTTTACTTATTTATTTAACTTTATTATGTTTGTTGGTGTGAAGGTGTCAGATCTCATGGAACTGCATTTTCAGACAGTTGTGAGCTGCCATGTGGGTGCTGGGAATCGAACCCGGGTCCTCTGGAAGAGCAGTCAGTGCTCTTAACCGCTGAGCCATCTCTCCAGCCCCCTACAGCAAGAGTTTTTGAATCTCTCTTTTGCTTTGAGATATTGACAAGTAAATCAGAGCCTTGTACATGCCAGAAAATACTGGATGAATAATTTACATTCCGAGCCTTAAGGATTTAGAGTTTTGTCCTATCTGTGATATGGGGTCTTTTACCCAGGATCTTGGGCATACTGGACTAGCTTAGTATCACTGAGTAAAGACCCAAACATTTCCTCAAGACTATAAGAGTCTTGAGATCAGACAGTTTAAGAACCCTGATCAACAAAGATTACTTATTTCACAAATGCATGAAATAAAATAGATTGTTAAAACTTGTGGGTATAATCATCAAAGTATAAAAGTAAGACACCCTTTGAGAGAAGAGTCTTCCATTTCCCATCAAACAAAAATAATGATACATAGAATGACCACTCACATATAACATTTAAAAAGGCATGGGGAGCCATGAATGTCATCCTAGCCCTTGGGTGCCTTAGGTAAGAAGAACTCCAGGACAGTGGGGCTACACAGAGACACTCTGAAAAAATAAGAATGGTATGTTTTTAGTTCAGTCCTAATTTAAAGAAATCAGGAAAAACAATTCTGAGATAGTTCATTCTATGTTCTGCCATCTGTGTGATAGTGTCCTCTTTAATTCACTGATTTTCTTTTCAGTAAATATTATCTTTAGGTTTTATTAAGATATAAAACCCACAGTATTTGGTTCTTTTTCCATGTCTTCATCACTTATCTTTAAACAGATGTGGATTGTGAGACCTCTATCATTTTCTTGCATCCTAAAGATTCTTTACTATTTCTGCTGTGGCTGAGTTTTCCAAGACTGTGTTGGAGAAAGTCTACACTGATTCTGCACTTTGAAGAAAATATTACAGACTACAAACTTCTAGTTTAATCTTTTATTTCTCTGATGAAATATTTAATTGTTTATTATATTTGATGAAAAGTTTGTTACTTACAGTAATGATTGTCTGAGAGCCTCTAAAACTAATCTTGTCAAAGGTAACCAACAATAACATAAGTGAAAATCTAGAAGAAAGAAGGACTTAGTCATGTACAAAACTGACTTCTCAGCAGGAATTAGAGGGTTCATAAGTGCATTAGGTCCTGAAAAAAGTAATCATCACTCAAGATAAATATATGAATGAGGGTCATGCTTCATGTTTAAAAGAAAAAAGATATAACGAGAAAAAACACTAAAGAAATTTATGTCTACTAAACTATCACTGATGAATAGAGGTATGAGAATAATACTCGCAGAAGAGGAAGAAAAACAAGCACATTTGTGACAACATGGGAAAGTATATTAATAGGCAAACCAATGAGAAATATGAAGAAACCAACCAATTTCAATATAGCGAATGATCAAGTGGTTATAAGTGGAATCAATGGGCACAGAACACTAAAACCAGCCAGAACTATCAACAAAGTGACAGGAATAATCACATACTTATAACGCTGGATGTAAATGATAATAAGTAAAAGAGAATGTAAGTGAAATATTTTTGATTACTAACTATATTAAAAAAGCAAGATTCTGTAACATATTACCTGCCTACAGGTATACCTCATAAACCTCATACAGGTTGAGAAACACAGAGTGGAAGGGGAGGTGTGGGAAAGATATTCTAAGAAAATAGAATGCAGAAGTGGGTAGAAATAGCTATAGCCATATTGGAAAATAAAGACTTTAAGCTAATATGGTAGAACAGAAAAAGCAAGTCACTATATGTAGTGAATAATTTCTTCTTGGTTGTATACTGCATGTATATATGTAAGTATATATGTATGTATATATTGCAAAATTACATAACTCTCTGTAGCATGTAATTATGAGGATATAAGTTAGCTTCACTAAAGTTTTAGAGAAGACATTATCTGGTATAGGATACATGGCAGAATTTCAAACATCACCTGCACCTGATAACAGAGCAGGTTTGCTAACGAGAAATAGCCCATTGTGTAGTCGATCCTGGTGTTTGCCAGGAAGAGACCTGTGCTTCTGCTGGGAACTTCTGAATGCATGCCAAGCACTACCCACTACCCTGACCCGCATAATCACTCACTCACTGCTCTCCCTCAAAATCCTGTTATAAAAGCACAGTCATCTCTTCCCTGACAAACCATCCCAGATCTCTACAAGGCAGATAAGTGGGAGCTGAAAGATGATGAGAGCCTTGCAGGGTTCACAACTCAGGAGAAGATATGGTAGAATAGCAAGCCTCGCAGAGCATAGGATTCTGAGAATCAGCAAAGGCTTCCTGAGGAGTTTTCAGAGGAAGAGGGAAATATGAATTCCTCATTTCATTACAGGTGATAGAAAAATAGGAATGGGGTCCAGTGCATCCTTGTAGATCTAGACAAAGCAGAAAGAGAGGACTGACCCTCTTTGCACGTTTTCTTTGATCACACTCTCTTTAGAACCCTGATTGCTGCTACCTCACGGACAAGATGCTGCATCACCTAGCTCTCACTGGTGTATCCTGGATGTTCTCCTGCCTGATGTTTTTATCTCAGGTGCAAGGTAAGGTTTCTTTGCCTCTAGAATATGCTGGGAGTGTTTTGAACCAAAAAGCAAAGGAAGGATCTAATGAGTTTCCTGTGGGAATCGTAAGTAGTATTCACACAGTAAAATTGCCTGCAACTCATCCATCATCTTGCCTTCTTCTAGGTCATTGGTGGTGAGAAATAGCACAATCGTCCATCAATAGGGAAGTCAGAGGGTTTCCATTTTGTCAGGAAGCTCTAACTTATGTTAGTGTGTTGGAAAAGTGATGTATGAGGGTCCATAATGAAGCTTACAAATAGACAGTACTGGGGAATGTGTAGGAAAGATAAAATGAAGAAAGAAGCTCTTCTACATTGAGCAATGTTATAAAAGCAAGGAACCTTGCTGAGTGTGTGGGCACAAGTCTTTTATCTCAGCATTCAGGAGGTAAAGGCAGGAAGATTTCTGCAAATTTGAGGCCAACTTGATCTATATTCTGAGTTCCGAGACAGCCTGGGCAACACTGAGACCTTGTCTCAAAAACAAACAAACAAAAAACAAGACAGCAGAAAGAATTTACAGAGGCTATCACTGTCATGACTACAGTCACGACTCCAAAAAAAAAATAGGATTAATAAACATCCTCTTAAGTTGATATTGCAATCCAACTCCCACTCTCCATTTCATTCTACCCTCTCTTTATCTCTCTAACTCCTAGGTGAAGACTCCCAGAAGGAATTGCCCTCTCCATGTATTAGCTGCCCCATGGGCTCCAAGTCCTATCACTCCCACTGCTATGCCCTGGTTATGACACCCAAATCTTGGTATCAAGCAAATGTGAGTGCAGAAATGTTGAAGATAACAGCATAATGTATGACTTGACAGAAGAGGCCTCAAGTTTCCATGATCCCGTAGAGATCAGAATGACGGTTCTTTCCTTTATGTAATCTTTCTACCCATAATATATACCTCATATACTGCACCACTTATCAATGAAGTCTCAGTCTCTCTCATTCTGCCCCTATATAGCTGACCTGCCAGAAGACACCTTGGGTCCATTCTTAGTGGAGCCGAGGCTTCCTTTGTGTCCTCCCTGGTGAATGGCAGAGTGAATAACTGCAAAGAAATCTGGATTGGACTCCATGATCCCACAATGGTGAGGTTTTATCTTTTCCACTGTTTCATCTGCAAAAAGTGATGTCTCCAAAGCCCAGTTCTTAGTCTCTGGTCCATGTATATGGAGGACCTAGCCCTCAGATGTTGGGTGACATTAGTAAAGGAATTTTTGGAATTTCAGAGTGAAGGGCTATGGAGGGTTCCAGTCTTCAGCTTAATTTCTCTGCCTGTCGTTAGCTTTTGCATTTTCCTTTAAGAAAGTCAAATGGTAAGTTCTTTGGTTTTCAAGCAGTCTTCACAAAGAGTTCTGAAAGCATTGTGAATTGAGATAAGATTTATAATTATGCTTTAAAAATTAGGATTATTTATTTTATTTGTATGTTTTCCCTGAGTATATGTGTGTGTGCCATCTGCATGTCTGGTGCTTCTGGAGGTCAGAAAATGGCTTCAGATTCCTTAAAACTGGAGTTCTAGATGTTTGTAAGCTACCATATGGGTGCTAGAAGCCAATCTTGGGTCCTCTGTAAGAGCAGGCACTGCTCTTAACTGCTGAGTAATCTCCCTACCTCTCACTTTTGTTGTTTATAGGGAAGATACTGTGAGATTCAGAGGCACTTCTGAAATGTATTCTAATCATTGTGGGCCAGGCACCTTGTTAATCTAGTTCAACAGTTATTGTTATTATTGTCAAAGAGACGCCTGTGGAAGATAGAAGTTAAATCAGAATCTCCAAGTGAAAAAGTACCTGGACAGCACGGTGGAATGGGCCAAATACATGAAGCACTAATGTACTTTATCTTCACACTTCTACTGTGCAGGGTAAAGAATCCAATGGACGTGGATGGGAGTGGAGTAACTCTGATGTGCTGAGTTACTTTAACTGGGAAGGAAATCCTTCTTCTGTTGTAAACCGTGGTCACTGTGGGAGTCTGACAGCAACCTCAGGTAAAAAACAGAAATACCACCTTTACATAATCTTATCCAAGCCTCTCCTCTCCAACTGAGTCTGACCTTCTGGCTTTCCTCCTAAACTAGGGAATTCAGTATGGATTTATGTTCCTCAAACGTTAATGTTTCTTGCCACTGCACTGGGGAATGGGTGAAGCTGAAATAAAGGCTTCTGAGACTAGTACTGCTTCTGCGTTTCCCCCACCATGGTAGACATAAGAGCCAACATGTTTCCTCTCGCTAGGGTTTCTGAAGTGGGGAGACCATCACTGTGATGGGGAATTCCCTTTTGTTTGCAAGTTCAAGCAGTAAGAAGGCAGCTTCCTGAGTTTATGATGAAGCTCATCATGACAACAGATCAAATACAACCATTCACCCAGCAAGCCAGTGCTCTCTTCACTATTCTGCATCAGAGTTATTATTCTGGTTTTCTAGCTTTTTCATTCATCTCCTTGCCCTTATTTCAGGTTTTTCTGTACAGTTCATGGTTCGAAATCTTGCAGATATATAATAAAAACCCTTGGTTGTACTTTTGCATTTTACTTTCATGGGAAGACTCTGTGGAGGTCAGAGAGTAGGCGGGGAAGGAAGATGCATGTTCAATGCAGTTCAGTGCTTTCCATCTGGTGTGCTATGATGAGTGTGGATTCAACTTGATTATTGTCTTGTAGAAAGGTGAAGATACTGCCATCACACACACTCACTACTGGGCAGAAGGAGGATAAAATTACTTTCCATGTCTATCCAGGCCAGTAACTGTAGGGTAACTTAGTTAAATCCAGTACTGTGATTTCTATAGCTGGTATTCTAATCCTAACCCTCACCCTCAGGACCACTCCTTATCACATGTCCCCTTCTTTCTCCCATGTTCCAGGATGCCCCCACATGCTTTGGCTCTACGCCAAACTTTATGGTCATCAAGGATCTCTTCAAGATAGTAGGATATGCTTATTGTTAGCTAAATCTCATTCATTTAATTCAGACTTTGTCAAGCCTCATAGTCTCAATCTTGAGTCACCTACTATGCCTTTAGGCTAGACTCCGCAGTCTGAGACTCTAAGACACAGCTGTGTAACTAGCCACCAGACCAGTACTCACAGATACAAACTTTAGGAATGCTGAGTGTCTGATCAATCTTTCCTCTGTCAATAGCCTTTTCTTATTTTATACTAGCCCTGAGTAAGTCCCATTAAAGCAGACCTCAGGATTTGATAATCTCTCATGGCCCTGCTGCTAGGCTATCCCTCATGACTACAGGAACCATTCTAAATCAGTGATGCGCACACATCTAACTCCCACAAAGCTGTGATTTAAATCAATCCCTATAGAATTAGATTTCTTGTTTATTACAGTGGTTAGGCTGCCTAATAGCAAGCAGTTGAAAATTGTAAAAGTACAAAACAATGATTATTACTAAATGGCAGGTGCAAATTTATCAAGAACTAATTGAACAAAAATTATGTATACATATACATATCACATATCAATACTCATTTGATAGCCACATGAAAAAATATGAGCAGCTAAAAATTATCTAAAAGACCAGAGAGATGGCTCAGTGGGTAAATGTTCCTGCTGTCAAGCCTAGCATGGGAGTTCAATTCAGGACCCAAATGATATAGAAAGAGAACTCTGACTTCCACACCCATGTAGCACACATGTACCTTCCTCATCACATACATGTACACAGAATAAATGAAAATTAATAATTTTTTAAAGTAAGTTCAATGAAAATTAATGTAAAATAGATAAATTACTTGATCGCACTATCAAAATCATGAAAAAATTATCCAATATTTTTGGATGAAAGTTCAAAAGTACAGGCAAAAAGAACAAAAGAGACAAGTGAGTCTACCAAAAATAAAAAAAAAAAGTCTACCTGAAAATGTTAATATAAGTAACACAATACAGACTGAACAGGTTCTATTTAGAAATACATATATATGTACACACACATATACATGTGTATGTGTACATGTATATGAAAAAAGAGGCCGATAACATGAAAAAAATGGGTAGGGGTCTATTGAAGGGTTTGGAGGGGAAGAGGAAAGGGAATGGAAAAATATTTTTATTATATTATCATTTCAAATATAAATATATTAAAATGAAAACAAGTGGGAAAGTATCTGTAGCACAATGCAGCAGTTATCAGAATGGAAAGAGAATCTACAGAACAGGAGAAAATACTTAGAGATTGTATGTGAGACCAATGGCTCATACATAAAACATAGAAGGAGCCCAAACAATTTAATCATGTGTGAAGAATTAACCTAATTTAAAAGCAACTGAATAACACCACTCAAAAGGAGTTAGGAACGGCTACAGGAGTGTTTGAAAGACGGGTTTAACATTCTTAAATATCAGGCATATGCAAATTAAAATCATCATGTGTCCTCTCCTTGCACCTGTTATCATGACTATTAGCAGCAGATAAAGGATAAATGTTGGGGCAGGTGCAGAGAAAAGGGGATGTTTGTACATGTTTAAAAGGAAGGAAATTTTACAGCCATTATGTAAAATATGGGGCTTGTTCAAAAAGCTAGAAATAGAAGTGTCATGTGATTCAGCAATTCCCTGATAAACACCAAAAGGAAACAGCATCAATATGAAATGGAATTTATTTGGCCTATTTCTTTCTTTCAGCATTACTCATAATTGAAAAGAGGTACATGAACAGACTTTCCTCTAAAAATATTCATGTTATTTTAATTTTGTGTGTGTGGGGGGCAGGGGGAATGCATGTTTGAGTCATGCTCCAGTGGATTCCAGAAAAGGGAGTTGAAGATCCTGGAGCGGAAATGAAAGGCATGTGAGCCAGGCGACACGGGTGCTGGGAACAGAACTTGTGTCTTCTGCAACAGCATTTCTCCTGGTCTTGATTTTTCTTAGATGTTATGTTTATGATAGAATACTTTAGGTACAAGAAAATTCTGTCGTCTGTTAGCACATTAGTGAACCTACAGGATATTACAGTAGTTGAAAAGTTCAAGCATTGTTTTAGTGTCCTGGAGAAGTTCCACAAAAGATCACTATCCACATATTCAATCAACAAGAACGTTTATTATTCCAGTATGCTGGGCTGACTATCCTACACAAAGGCAAGATGTCAAAGACCTGGACATGTGTTCCTAGGCTCCTTTTGAACATAGCCAAGGGGAGGTCCTATGGTAATTAACTCATCTCAGATATGATTGGATTAAATAAGTATCAATCATACTAGTACATTCTAATTGGCTAGGGCTAGTTAGGAGCTGGTCAGGGCTACAGTTTTCCATTTTTGGACCGTCTTGGATAAGTCTCAGGCTTTGTTCTTATTTGGTTATCACCTTGAGATTACTGACTGTGGAGGCTGGCTCAGTCCTGGCCTGACTTAGTACTGCATGAACCAGGTCTCCTTCTTTCTGTTTGCGGTGTTGGACAATGGATTGTCTTTTGTTTGTGGCTCTTCCTCAGAAACTGCTTGATCAGATTCAGGAAACAGAAATGGAGGCCTGATTTCTGAGAGAAGACTGAGAAGCCTGTTATGGTGTCTGCCTGATTCTTTCACACAGAACTTCAAATACATGGGACAGTCACTTATACATGGGACAGTCACTACACAAAGGGACCTTAAAAATTCAAAAAGAAAACTTTGGGATACTATCTATCTGGTAAACCAAACAGTAAAGTTTTCTTTGTACTTTGTTTTTTCAGATCTCAAATGCTGTTTCTCTGGGTGGGAAGTTGCTTGAGCACTCCTTAATCTACACCTTTTCCCTGTTTCTTGCTTGCTTTTACAGCTTAAGATAATGGCCAGAAGCAACTAAAACTATCCATGCCCCACCTGGGCAATAAGAGAGAATTCATTCTCTTGGCTGGAATTACAAAAGAACTCTGAGCTTCTCTTTATAAGCTGACTTAAGACATCCCCATGGCCAGGGACATGTCATTGACCCACGTTTCTCAGCATTGTTGTTACAACAAAGAGAGCATTCTCTATATAGAAATTGGATAAAATATAAAAATTCTAAACTGTCTGGATAATTAGAGTATGGTAATTATCAACACAACTTCTAGTAGACACAGTCTTGAAGATGAGTGGAAGTGTTTTTTCAGAGGCATGCATGGGTGCTGTTTTAGGATGTGGTGAAGGGAGCAGTGAGGTCAGGGATGGAGTCAAGGATTATCACTGCACACACTCAAAAAAAAAAACAACAGGAAGATGGATGACAAGATGTGATGCTGTGATCAAACATGATGAAAGGGGACATGTAATGATTTAAGCCCCTTTCATTTGGAAACCTTCAGTTTATTTTTGCCACCCAAAGAGACAAGGTACAGACAGCAGATAAATCAAGGTACCTACACGCTCATCACTTGAGAAGCTGAGGCAGAATGACTTCTGTGAGTTCAAGGCTATCCTAGTCTATACAGTTGACTGTCATCCTAAACTACAATAAAATAATCTTTTGAAAAATAAATAGAGGCTGGAGATCTGGCTGTCAGTAAAATGTCTAGTGCAAAACCATTAAGACCAGAGCTAGATATCAACACCTACTCAAAAAACTCAAGAGTGGAGGTGCACATCTGCTCCAGGGTGGTGGTGGGGGGGTTGACAGAGTCAAGTAGATTCTTTATGCTTATTTGTTAGCCACACTTGCAAAATCAATGAGCTTCAGGTTGAGCAAGAGACTCTCAAATTAGATGAACAATGATTGAGGAAGGCTGTAAACCTACCTTTGACCTCCATAAACATGGGTATACATGTGTGCACTCATACTGTACTCATCCACACTAACAAAGAAATTCAGCGGTGGGGGGAGAGAGAACATCATACAAGATTTAAAATGAATAATTAAATAAGTGAAATGAACCAACCAAATAAGGTACAGATATGTTTATAGGACATATTCTATCTCAGACATCCCCATTTTCTTATTGTCACTTAACTACTGACACTTGGCAGCTATAAAATATATAAATATTTGACAAGTGTGGTGACACATATCTTTAATGTCCCTATAATCCCACAACTCAGAGTGATGGGGCAAGGAACAGTGAGTTCATGGCAAGTGTGGGGCTACACAGAGATAAACTATCTTAATTTCCTCCTTTTATTCTTTTTCGATTCTTTTTTCAATTTGTGTTGCCAACATTCCATTATAATTTCTTTTAGCTCTGTTGATGGGGGAGGGTCATCTGTCTTATCTGTTGTTTTTATTTGTTAATTAATAAAGAAACTGCTTGGCCTTTGATAGGCCAGCCCTTAGGTGGGTGGAGTAGACAGAACAGAATTCTGGGAGAAAAAAGCTGAGTTAGGCAGTCGCCAT